AATTTTTTAATAAGGTGTGGTCTTAATGTACTTCTGCATGGTCTTTGACAAAAGTATCAAGATGATGCATTTTGTAAATGGACTTGATGATATCTTATATGAACTTGGATTTATCATGACTTTGTGAATAAATTTATATTTACTTATAGTTATTTATGGTGATCACTCTTTAAGGAAATAAGGAAACGATTAAACAAAAATATTGCTTCAAGGAAAACCTTAGCAGTGTCATTTACCCAGCGTTTGGGTCAGACACATCGTGATTTAATTTTTATTTATTTTCTGAATCCATGATAATGTTGTATTTATTATGGTTTGCAGAATTACTCTATTAACTTGAACTTCAATGGAATGTAAATTTCTTTTTTTTCTGAATTATGCGGTATCAGAAATATACAGAGCGTGCGCATAAGTTACATTTTAAATGAATTACTGATTTGCTGATACTATTATCTGTATGTGCTTTTTTATACTATTGCAACCGCACAGAGTTTGCAAACATTTAATAAAATGATGTATTTGAAATACTCTATCAGCAAAAAATAGACAGGTAAAAATTGGATTTAAATATCTAATTGCAACTCTATATAGAGAGATCTCTATAGTGATCTCAGAAAGTAGAAATATCTTACTGGAGATCTTCTACCACGCCATATTTGATCCGCCATATAAAATGGGGATCAAAATTATAGACCTATAGCTTATAGAATATAATTGTTCTGATTGCCATTTAATATATGCTAAAAAAGTATATCTAATTATACTTTTAATTGGTTTCAGAATATCATCCATCACAATCATAACACATATTAATTGAATGTGTGAGTTGTTAGTGGGATTTTAGGAGAGTTTCTAATTTTAGAAACAGTTGCCTTTACCAATATTAGAGTGTAAATGCACAATTTAAATCCAAAAATCGTAAAATATCTTATTAATTAATACCAAAGATTTAAATAATCAAATCCTTATCTATTACTATTTTTGGTAATTATTTTATTTGGATTTTTATATAAGTGGATTTTGATTCCCCTGGCAAATTAGAACAAAATATCGGCGGTAAGCAACCATGGTAAATATGATCTTCCGACTGGAACAAAGGCGAACTGGGTTCATAACTGTTATTTAATGCGTTAAAATTCTATTTTATCACTGATGCAAACAGTGAATCGAAAATTTTATGGGTTCAAATGATATATAGCACTTATTAAAAAGAACTTTCCAGGCTTAAAGATAACCTTTGTCTAAAAAAATCAAATCATTTTTATTGTAGCCTTTTTTGTGAAGTCTTTTAACACGTTTATCGTCTTGTCAGTCATATATGTCCTGATGCTAAGAAGTTCTACATGAGCTATGTCGATCTGGTAGAAGACTTGTCGAGATATTTAAAAAATAGTGTTTTTCCATTAATTTTGCTGAAAAAAAATTTTTGATCATAGGTTTATCATATTTTCTTGATACCTTTTGAACTCGATTATCTAACAAAATTACAATTGCCCATGTGAGAAATTTTTGGTCTTATCTTGGTGATTAACGTGTTAAAATTCAGAAAGTAGTTTAGGGGACGTCCATTTATCACGTGATCGATTTTTAGGAATTTTTGGAACCCTCTCCCTCCTCTCCCTTGGTGATACGTCGTGATATTCAAAATTATCTCTCTCCACGACCAAAGATCACGTGTATTTTTAGTTTCGTAAAATTTTTCGATCGAGTTTTTAAAATTAACGAAAATTCGTAAAATTTTAGTTTTTTTTATTTCAGGTCAAAAATAAATATACATGATATCTACTAGACCCCACCCTTCCCACATAATTTTTTGTCAACAAAATTTATGAAATTTTACGAAATTTATATCAATTCTCAAAATTTAGGAGTGGTAATCGCAGGTAATCAAATCATGTGGGGCCATTCTTAATCACGTGATCAAATTTTAAGAATTTTTGGTTTTCCTTCTCGATAGGATACAAGATACATAACACGTGTAGGATAGTTTTAGCATCTTTAAACATATAATGGTTTTATATTTACCTATCACTCATAAAAAATATTGTTAGTGCAATATGTATTTTAAATCACTTAATTTAATTTCACACCTTCTTTAATTTTATGTAATTTGTTAAATTTTAATAAAATTTTTCATATATTGATTCACTTTAAATGGCGTAAAGTACAGGTGACCTGTATAGCCTCGGTAGCGCAGTAGGCAGCGCGTAAGTCTCATAATCTTAAGGTCGTGAGTTCGATCCTCACCCGGGGCAATTCTTTTTTTTTTCGTAAAATCTCTAATAAAATATAATAAGAAACAAACCTTTAAATGTATGAAATAATTTTGTAATATCATATAAACATTTTAAAAAACCATTGATGAACGTCAGTTTTTCTAATTTAGTATTTTTTCTATTACTATTAATGATGAATCACTTGAAATTATTGATTAAAAATAGTTTCCAAGTGAAAATAGTACTTTTAGACTTCACTGCAAAAATTTATATAGAAAAAATCACAATAGAAAATACGAAAGCAAAGATGCCCTGGTTGCAACGAAGTGAAAAATAGCTTTTCCATTTGGTTCTGAATAAGTGAAAATAGCAACCATTGGGTTGCATTATAATAAGAAATATACCAAAACTAGAATTAGTCAATCATTGGATTGTTTTCCAAGAACCATTGGTAAAAGTAATCATTGCAATTATGTGTTTAAATAATTTTAATGCATATTATCATAATGTATCCAATTTGAATATATGTTTAATTAAATTATTTATTTTGTAACAAATTTTGAAATATCTTAATGCTTTGCCATGCTACGCTGAATCTTTCCTTTTGCATTGGGAAATTTTGAACAAAGACAATGCACGAATATTATAATCATTTAAACATTTTTGTAAGGAAGTCGTAAAAAAGATTACAAAATATTGCAATCACGTTTTGTTAATTATAAGTGAATACAAAACCTTTTCTATTTCAAGATTTATCGATGTTTGAATATAAAACTCACAATTAGATATACATTTAAAATTGTTCGCGATCAATAATTGATGATTTCTAATAATTAAATTGGCACTATCGCCAACTATGTTATACTTTCTATTGAATAATTACATATATTTTCATGCAGTTGTTATGTTTTAGTTATACGTTTGTACATTCAATTTAACACTTATACGTTTTCTAAATACATAAATAAAATTGTCGAAATTATGAAATTGCTTGTATAATTTTGAATTCCCAATTGCCATATATCAATCAATAAATTACATTTGTAAAAATACTTCTATTTTTACCTAAACTCAATTTTTTATCATAACTGATATAAGAAAGCATTTGTATAACACAATGAATGATATTCTGAAAAGAATCTGCATAAACTTGTTTTTATATAATTTTTTTTTGTTAGTTTTTATATTAAGTGAAAGTAATTAGTATTGGTATTATCCATACGAGCCATTAAATCTATTATGATAATTTAGCATCAAATAATTTTATTGTCAACAGATTTTTTATTTTCCGCTCTAACCGGATAGCAGAGTAATTTCTTTTCAAATTTTGCATTTTCTTATGATAGTGGACTAAATAAAAACTAGTACCTATTAGAAATGCGCGATCTGCCCGACATTTGAAAGTTAGTCGTCTGTAAAAATAAAGAATTTTAAGTGACTACGATTAGATATCAATAGAAAGGTATGAATAAAAAAAATATTTCAATCTTGTATAAATAATGCCTATATTTAGGTGATTTTTCTTTAATGGTTGCTCTGGTCTGGATGTAATCCATAATCAAATATGAAAAACAAAGTTCTTCAAATTATTTGGAAAAGTTTGCCTAAATGAGATGCAAGATACAAAGTGCAATTGGCATTTCGTTACTTTTCGGGCTTGTGCATTTTTTATAATTTTGAGTAAAGTTTACTTTTTATTTTTATATTGAAACGATTCTGATTATTGACTATGGATTAAGTCATTTACCACCGATAATTAAGTCATCCCATGTATTCGATGTGAACTGGGTCGATTTGTTTGAGACAGGTTCTCTTACTAGAGAGACATGATCATTATCAGTGTTACGCATTATACGGAATTCCTGTAATAATTACTTTTCCTATTCATTAAATTTGATGCTATTTACTTACTTAAGTACAGAACTAGGTCTTCAGATCAATATAAAAAATGAAATATATTCAATCAGTTTTTTAATGACACCAGAATCATCAAAGTTACAGTAACCAGTATTCCTGCAATTTAGATGAAATCTGTTCTCGTTTACTTACATATGTAAGAGTAATTCAGGTTGGTAATCATAATTAAAGTCTTTTCGATTACTCTATTGTAGAAAAGAAAATATAAATCTTTCGTTTTCTTAAAACCTAAAACAAACATCAATATTCGTTTAAGTTTTACTAATGATCATTGACATGGCTTGTAATATAAACAATACTATTGAAACAATAGTTTTGCTGAACTAATGGAAATTTAAATCTATTTCTCATCAAGATTATGTTCTTGATCTTAACACTATAGATGTTATACATCATAACAATAATTAGAATGTACTGTTTGTAATCTCACAATCAGCTAAAAATCATGAATATATCATTTATATATTTATCTGTTTCTTGGGAATGTAAAAATAATTTTTTACTAGCTTAACTTTTTATTCGCAGAAACTAATAGTAGAAGTAGGTCTAGCTATTCATGATAGTAAATAGTAAATTTATAGCAAAAAATTGAATCACGAAAATACCTTTTTTACATAGAACATCTTCCTCAAAATATATATTTGAATTAAAATTATACCATTATCAATTGAAGTTCTAAATTGAACATTCAGAGCATATAAGATATAAGAATTATTTGTTAAAATTGTTCTGACTGACCAAGTATTATTAATAAGAATTTAAAATTAAAAAATAAAAATCAAGTCAAGTAAATTTTTAGGTAAAAACAGAAACTAAAATTCTTTTCATATTTTTATTACAATATGCCTGATAATATTTTTATTATAGTATCAGCTGATAGTCGATGTTTTCTGGAAGGTGGTGGATCTGCAGAAAGTTTTTTTGTAAGCGAAGATTTACCGGTCGGTTCGATAATTGGTAAGTTTTATATTATAATAATTTCAATCCAACTGTTATAATTTAATCTAATATTTTAGGTAGCTTAAGTATACTAGGTGATCCAAGAATAATCGGTGGTGATATCACGTTGGGACTTCGTGAAAGAGATAGTCCTGTACAAATCGCAGCAGGTTCGAGGGATTTGGTTTTAAGGGCGCCACTGGATAAAGAAGGAAGACAAGGACCATCTTCGGTCTATGTTAATGTAATTTGCGACAGGAGATTGTCTGGAGATCCGGTGAGTTGTGAAAATTCAAGAAATAATAAATGAGTTATTGAGCAAATGAGCAAATGAGCAAATGAGCAAATGAGCAAATGAGCAAATGAGCAAATGAGCAAATGAGCAAATGAGCAAATGAGCAAATGAGCAAATGAGCAAATGAGCAAATGAGCAAATGAGCAAATGAGCAAATGAGCAAATGAGCAAATGAGCAAATGAGCAAATGAGCAAATGAGCAAATGAGCAAATGAGCAAATGAGCAAATAAGCTAATGAAAAAATGAGCTAATGAGTAAACGGGCAAATGAGTAAACGGGCAAATGAGTAAACGGGCAAATGAGTAAATGGGCAAATGAGCAATGAGTAAATGAGCAAATGAATAAATGAGCAAATGAATAAATGAGCAAATGAATAAATGAGCAAATGAATAAATGAGCAAATGAATAAATGAGCAAATGAATAAATGAGCAAATGAATAAATGAGCAAATGAATAAATGAGCAAATGAATAAATGAGCAAATGAATAAATGAATAAATATAAATTCAGTAAATTATAAATGAGTAAATTCCTGAATGAGTAAATTTCAAAATGAGTAAGTTTCAGAATGAGTAAGTTAGCAATTGATTAATCGAGTAAATTAGTGAATGAGTAAGTTAGCAATTGATTAAACGAGTAAATTAGTGAATGAGTAAGTATGTTGATTTAGTAAATGTTTAAATGTGGAATTAACAAGTATGAAATGATGGTGTAAATGTTCATATGAATGAATGTGTAAATTTAAATAATGAATGTTTAATCAGCAAAAGAATCACAACTGTTGAATAATAAGTATTATAAATAATATCAAAATTAATTAATTTGAAAAAAAAAATATCTTGCGTCGGCCGGGAATCGAACCGGATCAACTGCTTGGAAGGCAACTATGCTGACCATTACACCACCGACGCATATGCTCTGTTCATATTGTTTCGTGTATATAATACTATGCTCTATACACAGATACATTATATTACACGTATTTATTTTCAGAGTTTTGTAATACCTGTAAATATTCGTGTAACTGATGCTAATGACAATGCTCCGCAATGGATAGGCGCTCCTTATACACTCACACTGTCAGAAGTGACCGTGCCCGGTACAAGGTAAATATATTGATATACAGTGTTATTCTCTTCTCTTTCAACTCCCATATGGTCTAGTGGCTAGGATACCTGGCTTTCACCCAGGAGGCTCGGGTTCGATTCCCGGTATGGGAAATATTTTTTCTTCTTTTCAAATTTATTATTTTAACATTTTTTGTTTTATATACTTTACTATTATATTATATTCTTATGTAAAAAAAGCTATTTATCATAACATTTATTAATTGCCTCTTTATAAATATATTTTATTTTTAGGGTTTTGCAAGGTGCAAGGGCTGTTGATGCGGATCAACAAGGTCCTTTTTCTACTGTGGAATATTCTGTATTACCAGGACCAAATTCGGTAATATTAACTTTTCAATACTCTCTCCTAATTATTCATTACACATAATACATTTATATTTATATATGCAGTAACATAAATTTCTACATAATTGTTTTTATATTTACATTTTAGGATATATTTGCTTTTGTTACGCCTCTGGAAGGCACATTAATTTTAAGGAAGCCTTTGGATTTTGAGACTATGCCCAATTTTACAGTGGGATTAAGAGCGCAAGATCAAGGAAATCCTCCAAAGTTTACAGACACAAAATTAGATGTGAGTTTTGTTTACTATTAATATTTTATATCATTTATCGCTTAATAATTCATTTACAAAGGAAATGTATCCATTATTTATCGCTTAATATTTAATTTACAAAGGAAATGCATTCTTCATGAAGAATGCAATTTATAGTAGAATGCGGTGAATTGTATGTATGATATCATAAAAAAATAGATAGGTGTAATTAAATTTTCTTTTATGCACCATAATTAATTATAAATTATAATAAAAAATGATAAAAATTGAATTGACCCCGACGTGATTTGAACACGCAACCTTCTGATCTGGAGTCAGACGCGCTACCGTTGCGCCACGGAGTCTTGTTATATGACTTTGTAAAGATCGAAACCATTTGTTCGCCTACAATATCACATTAATTAATAGACACAATTTTAAGTTTTTATTCAAATTTTAAAAATGATATACAGAATTTAAAGAAAATGTACAAATAATTTCTAATAATGCAATTATTATAAAAATGTTTTTTCTTTAATGAATATTTTATTTTATTTAGGTCTTTGTTGCTGATGCTGACGACCAAAATCCAAAATTCTTGGACGAAGCTTATACTGCCATCGTTCCTGAAGGGGCTAGAAGGGTAAGAAATTAAATACTAAAATAGTTGTTTATATATAAAAAATGTTTATAATCGCAAGGCCTTTTTTTAATATTGATGATAATAAAGAATATATTTCTATTCGGTTCATTTTTGATTAAAGTTGAATAATTGATAATAGTTGTTCTGAATATGTATCGTATTTGAGCAACTCGTTCCATATGTCAGGATGGCCGAGCGGTCTAAGGCGCCAGACTCAAGGTTAACCTTGCCTGTGTAAACAGGCCGAGCGTTCTGGTCCTCTATGAGGGCGTGGGTTCGAATCCCACTTCTGACAAATATTTTTTTCCTTTAAAAATTATTTGGCATAAATAAATATATTAAATTTAATTAAATGATTTGAGAGATTTTAAAATTATTGTACTTATTAGTTTTGATGTATCCCACATATGTACATAATTTTCAAGATCTTTTTGGTTTTAGTGTAAGTTTCAATTTATAATTATGATTTATTATTTTTTATAATTAGTTTGATTTATTTTCTCAATATTCTATTAGGGGGCTGTATTACGGACATTACCTCGACCGATAGGGGCAATTGATCAAGACGCTGGGTTGAGGGCTTCTTTAACATATTCATTAGCACCACCAGCACCTCCGGCGTCTTCGCTTTTCAGGGTTGACCCCAAAACTGGTGCATTGACATTAGTCACTGATCTGAAGTCTGGTGACCTGGTACAACCAGTCACTCTTGTTTTGAAGGTAATTACGAAAATATTGGCATTGATTCACTAAATGCTAAACCTAAAAATATTTTTTCTATTTTGATTTTAATTTATTTTTTAGGCGACCCAGGAAGATAACTCTGATAGATATGCACTTGCCACATTAATAGTGTCACGTGCGGGCTATGGACCATCTTCAAATGGAGCTATCAGAGCTCCATTGATTTTTTTTCAATCCGAACTTAATATTGATATATCAGAAGATTCGCCTGTAGGCACCAGGCTGATAATGCTACCTACGAATAGACCAGGAGACCCGGTAAGAAAATTTGTTTTAACGTGATTACATAAATAAAGTGAATAATTAATTATTTAAAATTGAGTATATTCTGTCCTTTATAGGCGGTTCGATATTCCTTAATTGAAGCTGGTTGTCGAGGTCTTTTTGCAATATCTCCTGCAGGTGAGGTTCTTTTAAAGGCGAGTCTCGATTACGAAGTTGCTACCAAACATCGGTGTCATATATTAGCTACGGATGGTCGTGCTGTGAGTTAAAATTACTTTGTTTTGGATTTTAATAAATTAAAGTATGTAGAATATATATTTTTGATTTGTATTTTAAATCGGATTATTTGTCATATGATTTCAGAATGCTACAGCATTATTGGATGTGTCTGTAGTTAATGTCAACGACTGGGAACCACGTTTTCGACGCGCACATTATGAATTTGCTGCACCAGGATTGCCAGGAAGCAAAGGAACTCCTACGACAACAGCTGGTTTATTACTTGGCAGATTAGAAGCAGCAGATGGCGATAGAGGCGATGTTCTTACCTTGACTTTACGTGGAAGTTATTCGAGGTAAACCCGAATTTCGTACAGTTCTGGTCAGTTGATCAATATTTTAACTTACTATTTCTCCAGCATGTTCTCGTTGGATCCAAGTGGAGCATTGTTTCTTCGACCTGGCGCTATCGAAACTCTCCTAGGCGGAAATGGTAAATCTAATAATGATAGCTCCGGTGGCGTTCTGGTTCATTTAGTAGCCACGGCAACGGATAGCGGGGTACCGCCACGCTCCAGTTCAGTTCCAGTGACGGTGCGAGTTGGTGGAGCACCGGGTGCAGGAGCTATTGGTAGAGGTGCTCCAACGAGAGGTGGTACTTTAGCCGATTGGGGTTTGGTTACGGCTTTTACCGCACTGCTTGGTTTGTTTGCAGTTGTTATTGCAGCACTCTCGGTTTATATATATAAGGTGTAAGTATTTAGCCCAATGTTAAATTTTTATGTGCATTGTATAAAAAATATTTCTATTCAGTTTTAAACAAATGTGGTACTAAATACGATTTTTTCTCAGCAGCAAGAAACCAAAACGAATGTCTAGAAATCGTATACACGTAAACGATACTGGGGGCTTTTTACGTTCTCAACAAAAACCACCGCAGCATACAATTGGCGGTTTAGGTATGATTGGAGGTGCGCTTGCTAGAAGTGCAGGAGTTTCAGCAAATGGTTTGGGAGGCTCGGAAAGCACACTTAGCGCCGGGGCTAGCACAATTATTGCTAATAGTTTAGAAAGAAGAGCTCAAGCGGATTATACTGCAACAGTTCGAAGTGAGTAAAGTAGTTATTAATAATTCGTAATATATTTTTTAATTTTAATTCTTTCTATTATTTATTTTTATTTTATTCCCAGGTATAATGTCGAGAGCGTCACAGAGAAATGGTATGTACGAGTGCGGAGAAGAAAGCCCTACACCTGAAACATCAGAGTTATCTGGTACAACATCAGGAGTTACACGCGCCAACGAACAAGGGCGCGCTACTGGTTTGTGGGTCCAAGGTAGTGGAATGCCTACACGAGCTAAGAAACTTAGCTGGGAAAATGGTCAAGAAATTAAGGTAATTTTTTCTATAACATTATGTCAGTTGAAAAACAGTACATATTTTGTTTTATAATATGTAGGCAACTCTAGTTTTGATACTAATTGATTTAAATATTCTACAAGTTAAATAATTATTTTGATGGCATGATATTGTTTTAGACTGATGATGACCCCATACCACACCGCAATGGAACCAATTTGCCAGAAAACTTGACAGTGTATTTTTAGAAAGATAAATAATTGTGCAATAGTGATTTTTGTGGTTGTATTGAATTTTGAGTAAAGTGAATGTTGTCTGTTCCATTTTATGGTATCTGTTAGTTCATTCAACAATATTGGAAGAAAGTTATATTCCGATTGGGTGTGATGGATAAATTATTACAAGGTAACTGTGTAATATGTCAAAAGATTTGTGAATCAGAATATTCTTTGAATCTAAAAATACTAATTTAGTATATTAATGAAAAGTTATAAAAAAAAGATAAATGCATGGATTATAATATTCATATGCATATATTTCATAAATATTTTTTTATCTAAGTATATATAAATGGCTTAGTGTTACAAGATTTCTTGTTGAAATGTTATACATTCAAGTCATAACAATTCCATTTCTTGTTTTTTTATCTATTACATAGTAGTCATTAACATACTATTAATTTTGACTTGGTAACTTACTATTTCATTTAATTAATTTAAACATTGTGCAAAGTCATTAAACTGTAAAATTATACATGCATACATATGTACATAGCTCATTTAATAATTAAGTACAACTTTAGAAAAATAGTTTTTTGTGACAAACATTCGGCACATAATTCCTCTGCATACTCTTTTATAATTAAAGATTATTAATTACAAATTAAATACTGTCATGTATCAAAAATGATTTAATAAATACAAGAAATAGTTAACTAGAACGCTTTAAAATATATGTACATAGTAAATCTTTAAAAAAATATATATTCATATAAGTCTAACTATATTATAAGCAATAAAATTATAATGTATTAAAACGAGATTTAAATAACAGAATATAACAAAAAAAAATCTAAATTTTGCTTTCAATAACAAATTGATTTAAATTGTGATTATTTTCAGAAACAAATCACAATGATTCTTCTACAGGTTGGTAACTAGGTTTACCATGTGTGAATGGTAAATATCGATATTTTATCATGTGCTTTATTTGTCTTTTCATCGTAACCAGAAATAGTGTTATGAAGTAGAATACTAGAATTGGCCAAAATACTGGTATATTGAAGCAGTCAAACATTGTACAAAACAGTGCGATAAGTGTGCTGACGACAACTGATAACCAAAATTTAAATTCTGGTAGTCTTCGAATAAATGGCCGAAACTCTTCATTAGCTAAGGTTGGTAATTCAGGCCCCTTGAATAAACATAGGAAATATATTTAAGGAAAGGGAAATTGATTTTTAGATCAATATTTATTACAAGGTTACCTCATCATCATCGAAATTTAATGATGGATCCATCTTAGGTGTTAAAAATGCTATGAATAAATTCAGATGATAAATTCCTAAAGCATATGTGACTATATACCATCCATGTGTAGTTAGGACTCGTAATAAAAGTAATGCTACAAGCAAATAGCAGCTATCCATCTATATTTTGTATAGGGAACGGAATAGTCCAGCCAACCTGGAACAAATTTTAGGTTACATCTGACTGATAATGTAACATAAAGCAATTCAGTACAGTGTTTGAAAATAAAGCAATAAGGAAGGTATTAGATACTTTAATAATATTAATATTGTAATATAAAATGTTTTCTTCACATTCGAAGTATGAATTTTTATCACCATGGGAATTTCAAAACATTCTTACTTACGTTGTATTGTTTGTGATAAATGCGTACAAAACCTTGACAAAAAACTAGGCTGTGATGACTGTATTTCTTCGATTTCCATATCCATTTTAACACGTTAAAATTTACAAATATACAAAAATATGTTCTACAACTTAGGTTATAATAAGTATTTCAGTTCACATATTACTTATAGAGTAATCAACGTTATAATAAACTAATTTTTCACTAATTGCATTTCATTAACAACTAATTATCAACAATAAATAACATAACTGTCATTTTATCGAATAACTGCAGATTGCGTTATCAAGATCCTCAAAAATGTCACGTTGCAAACAGAAATGACGTTAGCGATTGCTGTTGGTGCCAACAGATGGCGGAAAAATAATAAAAAAATTTGTAAGTTCTTATTTAGGAATGGGTTATTTTTAATTATAATTAATGGGTTATTTTAATTATTATAATAAGGAATTTAGCATTTTATTAACTAGATAAAAATATTTAAATTTCAGTTTCATTATTTAAATATAAGATGAATGTCTACCAACTTAGCAGTAGATGGCACAACAATTTTTACCCACAACTAACTTCAGCTAGTTGTCACTCTCTTCAGAGGCGCTGTGGCGCTGACTGCATCAAAATGGCGCAACTCGTCAAGCTGCTGTCAGTCGTATTCTGCGAATCGAGTGTAAACATTGTCCTTGTCCGAAATTGGACAATTTTTATTATTTAATTGAAAATGTTACATAAAACGTGAGTGATCATGAACTATGAAGAATCTGGAAATGCAGAAGCGTGTATTTGATGAAAGTGAAAGTGATTTAGCTTTATTGGGTGTTTATGATTACAATACGATGAAATCCAAATCGCGAATTAAAAATACTATTATTTTTTGCTTCTTTTTGGTCATAGCAGGGATAGTTGGATTTGGATATTTCTGCCCGGATCAGGTAGGATAATAATAGAATAATATTATTATACAAAAAAAATTATATATTTGTGTTGTTTATAATATGTGGGAATTGACTTTTACTTATTTAACATGTCAGTCTTCTAATTTTTTTGCATTTCATGATTTTTATTTATATTATATTGCTATAATATTGAATTAGTACAATTATAATTAGAAATATTATTTTTATTTACTATTATTTAAGTACGGATTAAGGTTATGCACTCAATTTCAATTGAATTAATTAATTAGCTGCTTTACCTACTTTTATACCAATATAAGGATTCATACTATTAATTTCAAATAAAATTTTTTATCTATATTATCTACAATACAGGATCAAATTATTACTAGATTATTTTCAACAAATTTGTTATAATTCAGCAATTTTTTATTTTTGTAAACGCTGGAACCACTATACTACTGTTAAAGTTAATTTTCTGTTTTAAAATGATTTATTTAAGTACTATATATGCAACGACACATATACTTTATTTACATTTAATTCCAAAAGCCTTTTAGTCAGTACTTGTGCTCTTTGACTAGCCATGTATTCAGTAAATTTAAATTGCATATATGAAAAAAACTTATCTAAATGTTAATTACATTATGCAATTAATACCATCATTGCAGTTTTTCGTTAAAAATAATACATCCACTTACATTTCGTCAACATAGACTATTGCTATTTTAAATAAATACTATTATAAAAAAAATCTGCAAATTTGTTAACATCGAAATCTTCCCCTATGTTTGATTTGTGTACTACAAATATTTTATTTTTGATTTCATTAATGTCTCATACTCAAATATTGAAAGTACACAATTCGTTGCAAGTCTTATCAATTTATTAGGTATAAATACAAACTAATTCAATGATTCATAAACTTTTGACGTTATCAATATAACATTTTTATTTTCATTCATGCTGGTCTTATCTTAATACTCTTTCTTGCGAATTTATCGTAATTTTACAGTAATTGATATACAAGTACAAATAATTGAAGTATGGACTTGCCTCGTTTTTAGTTTATGTATGTATTTTACATTACATTGCACAAATCATAAATGGTTTTCAAAACAAGGTTGTCATTAATAGGATTTATTTTAAGAATTTATGTCCCCTTACAACGAGCATTGCTTTTATGAATAGATTTCTTAGAAAAATTCTCATTCACATGATTATTAAGAACATGTGCGTTTGTTTCACTATTTATGTCGTCGTTTTGAACGTTTTAAAGCAAAACATAGTTTTTTAGTAAAAAAAATAAAAATGCTCTTAGTTGATATCACTATTTAATGTGTCCATTTTTGCCAGCTGTTTTCTGATTTATATGTGATAATTTGAAAAGCAATTTAGATTTTATCAGCTTTTTTATGGTAAAACAACAATCAGGTATTGTGCTCTGTTTAATGCACTATTGTTGTAGATATCATGTACTTCGTGTAAAATTGCAACATCATCTGTTGAATATGGAGCATAGTATAATATAAAGTTAGACCATGAATATATTTTTATGTACAGTATATCGTGAATCTTAAAATGATTTTTTACATATTATTAAGAGCAATCAGAACTTAATAGTTCTCCAACCTTGTTGTATTGACCTTCTTAATAGCTTGGCTTTATAGATGACAACCCAATGGATGGCCTATAACTTTTTGGAGAATTTATCATTGCAATTTCTGTAATACTGATCAATTTTTATTGGATCCAACAATGCTGGGTAGGGGCTACACGGATTGTTATCTTATTTCCAAGTGAAAACATCTGATTATCACTAATGTTTGACATCAGCCGAATCTGAAACATCTGATTGAAAGACCTAGTCAGGGCTCTTCACTAATCAGGGCATAATATTTCATATTATTTACAAATATAGCATCATAAATGCATTCAATACATCGTGGCTTCCAGCAACCAAATTGTTGAATTTGTGATTGGATAGAATACTCATGAAATAATATTGGAAAAATGTAAACTATTCCTAAATCTATAGATAATACATATTCTAAAATGTTCTTTGTTGCATTTAATATGGAATTGGTGTGTTTTTTTTATTTACTATTTATTAAAGATGTTTTTTCGCGGACTTCACTTTTAGAAGTGAACAATTAGTCCCATTAAACTCTCCGCTATCCCCTGTATCAGTGATAGCAACCATCCCGTGTAAAAGCTCAATGCCATGAAGATTGTCACCTTCATGGCCAATATAATGAAACGAAAATACGTCCGAACATAGTTTTTTAATAATTTTATTTTTTTTATTTTGTGACCTTTGTGACGTTACATTTAATAAAGGATTGGCGTGGTTTTTTGAGTTTTGACTTTATTTGTACCTGCTACTGTTCTGATAGTAACATGCCAGAGGGGGGAATCTTGAAAAGGGGTTTGAGTAGATTGAATCTGATTTGAATTAGGACATATGTATTGAGAATGATAAATATGTTACACTAATATACAAGGAGAAAACTGAATAGAATAGGCAGTGGCGTAACTATAGGGTGGCGTGGGTGGCAAAATGCCACAGGCCCCGGCCCAAGGGGGCCCGGCTCAAGAGGACGCGTGCTCAGAAATATTGTTTTCTACATTATACTCTAATACTTTATTTCATTTGAAAAGTGTTTTCGTAAGAATCAGGGGCGTAACTACCGCCGTATCAGCCGTATCAGCCGTATCAAATATACGGGGCCCCCAAACCAGGGGGCCCCAACGTCCGTAAGAAACATTAATAATATAAACAAAATCATGAAACAAATTATCATGAAAACTTCGTTCAATCAAATTTAATGTCGTTAAAAAAGTACGCGAGGAATGTAAGATTATTATTTTAAAGAGTTTTATTTTGTCCAGGCCACGGGGGCCCCAAATACGTCTACTAAAAAAGTACGCGAGGAATGTAGATTATTATTTTTAAAGAGTTTTATTTTGTCCAGGCCACGGGGCCCCAAATACGCGTAAAAAAAGTACGCGAAGAATGTAAGATTATTATTTTCAAGAGTTTTATTTTGTCCAGTCACGGGGCCCCAAATACGCGTAAAAAAGTACGCGAGGAATGTAAGATTATTATTTTAAAGAGTTTTATTTTGTCCAGGCACGGGGGCCCCAAATACGCGTAAAAAAAGTACGCGAGGATGTAAGATTATTATTTTAAAGAGTTTTATTTTGTCCAGGCCACGGGGGCCCCAAATACGCGTAAAAATTAGTAAAATCTAACAATTTTTGTTTTATTTCACTAATAACAAAAGTTAGAATAAACATGAAAATTTTCTTCTAAATAAATTTAATTTCGAAAAAAAACCATGAGCGTGTAAGAATGTAAAAATATAATTTTAGAGTGTTGTGATGTTTTTTAAATATTTTCTTTAATATTTATGAAGCTCTATAGTATGCAAATAATGACTAATAGAAAACTAACTTTTTACTAAGTCATTTCTTGAATAGATTATGCAAATTAAAAAATCAAAGTTAATTTAGTAGTTTGTTCAAAAATTAGCAAAGGAATGGATTGTAAAGACTGCTTGTAAAAACAAAATATCAATCTTAACATGTAGCTTATAAAGCTAATTAAAAATTTAAAAAAAATTATGTTTGATTTTCAAAACAAAGCAGTAATTGTACTTTTAAATTAATTAATTTTGACTTATATTTTTATTTTTATGTTTTTTTGTACTTATACATTTTAATTTTTTTTTTAAATTTTTGTATACATACATTTTAAATAATTTCGATTTAAATAATTAGATTTACTCATTTTCAATACAATTCATTACAAATCGTGGATATATATAACATTTAACACGTTGAAAAATTTCGAGTTTTTTTAAATTAAATTAAAACCACTTGATTTTACTGATAGGGGGGCCCCATAAAAAAAATTTGCCACGGGCCCCGGATGGCCTAGTTACGCCACTGAGAATAGGACTTCAAAAAGTATGTAAAATGGAATAAGTATGTAGAAAACAATATGATTATCAAACCAACCAATATGATTTTCAAAGGAAGTATGTGATACTTGAAATAAAAGAATATAAAATTAAAAAAAAGTGCGCGTAAGGTTCACACGCGATTGAAGTAAAACTTATTTGCTACTGTACTATATAACAATTTTGAATGAAGTAATTGCTGATTAATAAATTCTATAATATTCGTTCACACAGTGGATTATGTTAATCAACGCCTAAATGAATATTGTTCTCGTAACTTCACTCATCATGTAATTGTGATTGAAGAACTTCATGTAATTAAAATTAACATACATTCATTGACTGCTTGTATTTTTTTTTACTTTTTCGCTGACGATATAATCTCATTCTTTTTCATTTTAATAACTTCAAAGATTTATAGAAACTGCGAATAATATAGAAATAATTTCTAATCAATAAACTTATGTTTAGTACACGGCACAAATGTTTAATTCTGATTCAGGCATTTTTCGATAAATCAATATTTGTATTACGATGCAACTTTAAAATGTTTATTTATTTATACCAATTTCCTTGTCGATATCGGTACGTATACAACGTTGATGCCCCGGTACGTATACAACGTTCATGCCGATACGCATACAACGACAGATCTCTATTCACATACACGACGACTAATCATAATCGACCCGTATAGAAATGATCTCATCGAGAGCGAATGACGAACAGTTCGGGCGTAACGGACTTCCGTTGCATTTGTACGGATTTACACCCTAGTCGCGCCTAAAGAGTTTTACTTCAATAATATAATTGGTTACTAAGTGCTAGAAACACCCTGACCAATGAAAAAGCAAATATTATCCTATAATTTAACAATAACTTCAGTTGCTACCGGTTTTTTATGATGATTCCATCAATCTCATTTCGTATTCCAGTCTTCGCGCGACGAGTGTTAAAATATTAACAAAAAAAATCATTCTGTATAGTTTCGGTTCATAGCGCACGGCTGATCGCGACTGGCATATGTTATTAGAACCGTGAGCGGCTGTTCGCCGCTGCGGCAGGAAGCCG